AAATCTCTTGTCAACAGTCCAGCTGACAAAACTTTGACCGGCACCGCTGGTCTTGCCCAGTTAACAAACCGTCCCTGTGTATGACCATTACAAACCCCAAAATTTAAATTACAGTGGAAACCTGATACACGGTAACAGAGTTGGTGGGAGCAGAGAAAAAGTCCTGTTATATCAGATCCCTGTTGAATCAGAAATGCAAGGGAAGTAAGCATTTATTGACTAATCCAGCTGTATTTATTCATGGGTAGTTTCCCTTTCCACAAGTACCCACGAACAGGGGTTTTGGCCATGTGACAGGCCTGTGCATGACACATTACACATGCCTATAGCTAGGCTTAGGGCTAGATCGAAGTCTGCAGCACACTGCAGCCCTCTCTCGCTTCACCCGCTGTGTCTGCTTGCTGTGGCATGGCTTGCGTGGGCTTGCTCCATCACTGCGTATCTCTCTCTCTCTCTCTCTCTTACTTTTTACACATTGTTAACACTGTTATTTCCGATGACTTTTAATAGAGACAAAGAGTGGGGAAAAACGGGGATTTAAAAAATCCCTGTTATTATGGGATCCCTGTTATTACCGAGCCTGTTATGTATGGTTTGCACTGTACTTTATAGGAATCTGATTTTCAAGCTGATTTACCTGGTGAATATTGGTGGTCATTCTGATGTGGTCTGCTTCTTCTTCATCATTTTAGTGTTACTATTTGATTGTCTTCATCTCTCTTGTGGATGGGTGGAGGGTACCACTAGAAGAACATTCTCTTTTTTTCTTTCTTATTATTTCTTTCTTGCTTGTTTTTCCCTGCTCTAAATGACCTTTATTGTGCAATGTACTTCTCTTTACTCAAATTATAACCTAATCTTTTGTGGTGAAATGTGGCCCTTTGTTCCATCTCACTGTTTATTACTAATACTTTATGAATACCTGAAAGTGCTTTGCATAGTGCCTAAGCTTTTTTAGACTTCCGGTTTATATTATTGAGTCTGTAAAGTCCCCTCTCCTGAAAGTTGTTTTTTTTATAACTTTTTTGCAGAGATTGCCATGCTGAATTTGGAAGGACGGATCACAGAACTTCTGCTTACAAGGCCCCAAAAGGCTACAGTTAGCTGGACTGTTGAGGAGAAGCCAGTATCTAGAGGGGACATCTGAGACAACTTTAAACTGTGATTATGTGGAAGGATTAAATCTCTGAATGTGAACAACAAGACTTCTATGAAAGCACCACATATGGACTGATGAGCTTTTCTAATTTTTGGAAATTTCCGTTTTTAAAAGCTGGTCAGAAGTCAACAACAACAACAACAAAACTTTTGTTCACTTTTTCCCGCAAAATGAAGGAAAGATTGGTCAAGTTTTCAAAACCTCATGTTGAAATGTCTTTTACTCATTTTCAGTTGTTCAATCCTCTTTTTTCATATCAATACGGTATCATATTTATGGGCTCTCTTTTGCCAGGGTAGTTTGAGGTCTAATTGCTTTGTTACAATTGTAAACTAAGTAAGGAAAGAAAAGACATACGGTACCTGAACCATTGGGAGAATGATGAGCTAGAGTGCACGCTGGCTCCCGTGTGTCTGTGCTCTTTCTCTGCTCACACTGTGGTTGACGTTTGACCTTGTGGGTAGTTGGTAGGTGCTCTAGTGTGGTTTGCTCCTTCTTTGCTATCAAACATCTGTTGTAATTTTCTCTTCTCCTTTTCTTTGCTTGTCACTTTCTAGTTACACCTCTAATCTTTGGCGCTTATAATGATACTAGCTGGGTCCCCTTTCGATGAAACGAATGATTGGTGCATTAACATCAACTTAAGTCATCATTGGCCTACTATATTTACACTCTACTGGAATGGAGCAATAAATCTTGAGAGGTGCAAAAACTAAGAATGTCTAGATCTATACTCTCAAAACAGAATACACCTTGCGAAATATCACTTCCGGCACTTCCTCTGTGATGGACAGCTACGCAGATTTGTTTCGTTTCTCAGTGGAATAATTACTAAGGCCAAAGAAAAACGGGAACTTTTTGTCAAATATGTTTTTCTCAATTTAGGAAATGAATAAATCAAAAATCGGGTTTCGTCATGGGGACCCATCTATCTTTCTGCAGGTACTTGCCAACTTTCAACTCTGTATCTGTCGCAGTTTTATGGGAAAAGTCATTTAAGTGACACATGTGTTTCCAAGATGCCAAATATATATAATAGACTACCTGGGAATCTGTCCAGGCTGAATTGGACAGTTCCTGTCTCTTCTTGGACCGTGTTTGTTTGTTTTTTGCTTTTAAAAGAAATTGTCAAGTGAACATCCCTTTCATAAAAGTGAAATAATGTGTCAGAATATAGGAGTTGATTTTACTATTAAGATCTAAAAATATTTTTGTGCATGAGCCTTGCAAGACATATGTATATGTAGGGTAGATCAGATGTAGGGTATTTAGTTTAATGGTGAAGATAAATAACAAGAAAGAACAAGGAAGGAATGAAGAAAGAGGCAGAATATCAGACCAAATGTAACACCCATTCATATGAGCATACATGATGTCTTGGCATGGTAGAGGTCAGTTTGAGTCCCTTTTTCAGAACTTACTCAACCTTTTTTGTTACCGAACTCAAAAAGTCAATGCTGTCACCTACCAGCTCGCACCCCTCCTCCTATCTCATCCAAACATCTCCATGAACACAAAGAGACAGCTTATCAGCTCAATATTCATACCAACATTATGATACCTGTGTCAAACCTGGACATTGAGTAAAACCCATGAAAGCAAAATCACCGCATGCGAAATGAAATGTCTCCGCAAAACCCTTAACATCACAAGACGAGACAGGCAGAGAAATGAAGAAGTAAGAGAAGCTATCTGCATTGAGTCCTGCCTGCATCACATAGAAAGACGGAGAATAAAATGGTTTGGCCACCTGTTTCGTATGTCACCTGGCCAGCCAGCCTCGAGACGAAGCACTCAGGCTATAAAGGAAGAGGAAGGCCACACAAAAGGTGGATCAAGGGGGCCTACCATAGAAAACTACATCTTCCCTCGACGCTTAACAGCAACAGAGGATGAAAAAGTACAAAAGTAAAGTACATGTAGGCCTACTCAACCTTCAGTGCGTATCCGGGTTTTCCACTCTGTTTAGGGAACATTTGGTTTCCTACGACATCATGTGTGAAAGACATTTTTTAAACTTGTATGAAGAATGAGGAGTGGAAATTTAGTTTCCTCATTTCATTATACATGTGTGTTTAAATGCTTTACCACTATTAATAAAATTGAACTGCACTCTAGTGTGATTGGGGATCAAGATCCAAAGTTGTATACTTAATTTATGATCTCTATTTATGATAAATGTTCCAAATATGATTGTGTTGTGTAAATACCAATAGACCTGGTACTTGTGATATCAAATGTATTTTTCTTTTGTTTACGGTTGTTTGTCTATACCCGTAGCCTTGTAATATTCTACTGTCTTTTTATATTGACAAATAAAAATAACACAGCCTCTATGAATTTATAAAAATGTTTTTTCCTTCAACTTTGTCTTTGTAAAGTGACCATAACCATCTCGACCGGAGTCTCTGTTTTAGCAGGCTCTTCACGGTTTCATGCAGGAGACCTGAGTTTGATTCCCGAGTGGGGAGAACATTTTTATCAAGTGTTTCAATCTTTCTTTTAGTTGTTAGGATGCTGTTTAACCCAAGTTAGTCCTGACAAGCAAGGAGATAAGCCCGCCTCCTAAATAATCTAAATTGTGTCACTGGGTGAGTAAAAAACACACCTACAGTTTTAAAAAAACCAACCCAAAGCTTTGGTGACGTCGGTAATCTAGTGGGTTAGCCACCGGATTCATAATCGTGGGATTACAGGTTCGGATATTGGAGGTTAGACTCTGTCTGGCGTTGTGTCCTTGGAAAAGGTACCCAACACTTATATTCCCATTTGGCTCAGCCCTTCTATAGGAAGTGGATGTTTACTTCGGAGGTCCTACTTCTTAAACCTTACGGAGTTGCAGGGGATGTTAACTGTTAAGCCAATGCAATTTCGCATAAAACTTCACCAGTTTGTGCACTCGGGAGTATGGACATGATCTTTCATTACTTTCAATCTCTTAACTACCTTGATATAAAAAGTAGAAGTAGGAGGGAGCCAAATTATATAAGAAAAACATTGTTAAAATGAGCTCTGGCAAATTTTACCTAACCGACGTC